CCTCTACCTATAATTTCTATTTTTAATTTAATTGCTTTTGAAATCTTTATTCCAAATGAAACTATCAATAAACTCATATCTATCTCTCAACTTAATTATTCTTACCAACAACTATCCTTTTATACTGATGGTTCTGTAATCAACATTGGTACTAACCAATGCACAATGGGTATCAGTTGGATCCAAGTTGATAATAATAATCAAACTATTAATTTCTTTTCAGCCAAAATACAATTTTGGCCCTCATTATACAAAGCTGAGCTTTTCTTAATTATTACTGCAATCTTAACAGCTTCACACAATTCAGTAGTTAATATTTTGGGGAATTTACAGATAAGGGCCCAAAAATGAAAATAATTACAAATGAGGGCCCAAAATAAAAATAATTGCAGATAGAGGCCCGATATTTGAAAATTATTACAAATAAGGGTCCAAAATAATTATATGTTTAAAAAACCTATGATTTAGCTCGTTTCGATAATTTTAACATGATCATTGATTGTTAATTTATAAGAAATGTAATAATAATCAATTGATAATTCGAATATAAATTCCAATGCACAATAAAAAATGTATATTCATGCTGTAAATTTATTTTATTGAAATTCTTATATATATTTCTTAAAACCTTTCATAAACACTAGATACAAAGTTACGGCCGGTAAGACTTTTAGAAACTTGGAAAATGTCCATTTGGACTTGGACAGTTATTCTGTTGAATTCTAAGTTAAGAACGAACAAACCAAGTAAACTGTTATTCTGTTAAATTCTAAGTAAGCTGTTAACTATTGGTTTTACAAATGAAACCAGTTTATGCACTTTTACTATTTCAGCTAACAGCATAAAGCTGACTACATTTATAGGGTAAGGCCAATTTCTCATGACCCAACTTGTCAACATTATGGATATATTCAAAGCACGAGATATAGTAATACTTCAATCATGTGATATTGAAATCGGGTTCGTTCTAAAAGTGAGGACTGAAACAACATACATGGTAGCTTGGAGAAGTCAAAAATCTGGGTAGTCGGGTGGAAATTTTTTTGGTTTTGGTTTTTTTTTTTTACAGTCAAACTCTCTATAATCACACTCTTGGTTTCAAAAATTTTAAGGTTAAATTTATATGCATTATATGAGTTGGTTTTAAAAGTTTGTGGTTATAAGCAAATGAGATTATAGAGGAAGTGACTATAGAGAGGTCTGACTGTAATGAACGATAACTCTAAAACACCTATTTAATCACAATTAACCATGATACTGTTATGACGATATATTTAGGCCCTTATTTGTAATAATTGTGACGAATTAAAATGAAATCAGATTAAAATGAAATGAGTAATAATGCCAAATAGACAAGCCACCGAAAAATACAAATTTTTGAGGTGCATTTTTTTGGCATTTTTTTAGGGTTAGGACTAATGTTTAGGGGTAGAATTTGTAATAAACAAGTATAAGTGGGTTTTAGGAGTCAAATAGAAATCCCTCGTTTTATTTTAATCCGATTTCATTATAATCCGCGACAATAATTTTCAAATATCAGGCCTCTATCTGTAATTATTTTCATTTTGGGCCCTTATTTGTAATTATATTCGTTTTTGGGCCCTCATTTGTAAATTCCCCATTAAATTAATCAAATACATGGATTTGGCGATAAATTTTAATTCTTTTTATTTTATAAAAATTTAAAATTTGATTGGTTAATTAGCACGTAATAAATTCGCATGATAAAAATTTACAATTTTGATTGGCTAAATGGAATCATCATTCCTTATTTGAGGGTTCCTTAAAAGCGGGCAGATTTCATATATTGATCTACATACTGCATAAATTGTATTATTGATATCTAAATAACCTATTAACCCTAGCTGTATCAAAAAGGTACCTCTAAAACATCAAAAACGCAACTTTTTTTAACTCGGCTTTAAGGACCCCCTTATTTGGGACGGTCTCCTACTAACTCCATATCAAAATGTACTGATATAATTTTTAATAGTTATTAACTTTGAATGGTAAATTCGTATACCGATACGTTAATCCGATTTGTTAACATCTAACGCAAACTCCCTAAAAAGATCAATACTGGCGTTTAGAATTAACTGTACATATACAGATAACGCCGAAAAATGGCATCATCATTCATTATTAACGATAAACCCTTTGTGATTTTTTTATGGCACTTCATGTAGGATAATCCCTCTCAGTGTTCTCTAGGCAGTATTGTACACTTTTGATGTCCAGCCTCATGTCTTTTATTTAAAATTACCTAACAAGTTGAGCAAATTCTGAGACAAGTTGGTCAGGGGGTACATACATACTAACAATTCCCAATATTTATATAACGATAAACAGATTTTCGATCACAAACTGCACCTAAGCAAACACAAGATTCGAGGAATATTTTTGGTCAACTCGCATGTGAATACATAATTTAGGATTCACAAACAGAAAGGACGAGTGAACATTCTCTTTTTTGGATTTACAAAATTAATAATCGTTAACAACCAAGTCAGAAAAATATCAAAGTTTCGTTAGACATCTTGATAACCATTTGACAAGTTCATAGTGTAAATTCATGGTACCACAAGATTCTGAATACAATCCATTGATTGGTCACAATACCTCTGAGGGAGTTGCTCAACACGGTAACATTCCAACACCGACTGGCCCGACTAAATTCAATATGGCTTTCGTTTCTTTTTTATTCGCGAGCTGCGGTGCTTTACTCTTTGCTGGTACTGTTTGGTACATAACCTCCAATGCGGAACATACATTTTTCATTTGGCACCCAACTTTAATGGCTTTGACCCTTTTAATGGCAACTTTCGGTATCAAATAAACAATTCATTTTTCAATGTTTGTTTTAAAGATATACACATCAATTGATTTAGTATTCATCTTTCCGAATTTTAGGTATCCTTATTCTTCAGACCACTGCAAAGCAAGGAGAAAGAAACGTCGGGCTTAATTGGCATAAATTGTTTCAAACAGTTACTTTTTTTGCTATCATTGCTGGATTCACTATTATTATTACCTACAAAAATAATAATAATAAAGATCATTGTACGTATAATTCATTTATTTTCATATATATGTAATATTATTCATTTCTTTTTTTATATTATAGTTACTTCCGCTCATGGGATAGCTGGATTATGTACATTTTCATTTATTCTGCTACAAACAACTTTTGGTTCAATCTTGGCTAATTTCCCTGGTGTCGTTGGTGGCGCCTCAAAGGCTGTGAGAATGTATAAATATCACAGATTTTCTGGCTACTTTTTATTAGCTTTAATTTACATTACCGCCCTTGGAGGTACTCAGGCTGATTGGACTATACAACATTTTGATCATCTCTGGGTTTGGTTAACAGCTTCAGTTTTAGTTTTAGTCGGAATTGCCGGAAGAACGAAGGCCAGTAAATTGAAAGTTTGGTGAAATTTGTTATTGTTTGATGTGTATTATCGAAATTATCTTCCTATCAATTACAGTTTTTGTTTACTACTATTTTGACATTAATAAATCAATTTTACGCTGAATGGTCAACTAAATAAATTTTATTTGATCTTTTATTTAGAGATTGTACCCATTAAAAAAAAAACTTTTTTTACCTGGGTATTATTAAATTATTCGGTTATCCGAGTAATTTTAATAAAAATGTCTACCCGGGTACAATCTCTACTTTATTACAGAAAAAATATACTAGAATTATTTTTTATTATTATTATGCATAATTATAATTAAATAACTATTAAATTTCATATCAGTCACCCGATTTGTCATATGGGGGAAGTCAATAGAAAAGGGGCAAATTTTTTTCGACTTTAAATTTAAATATCAACAATTATTTAATCAAATTTAATATTTTTTATTTTAATTTTATACAATTATAAAAAAAACTTGGTTAGATATTTGTTATTTAATTTAAAATTAAAAAATTTTATTAAAAAAATAATTTGTATTTTTCTATTGACTTTCCGCTATATGTATGTTTTTAATATAGGTCAAATGGTTAATACATCTAAATTTCATTTATAAAATTTAGACAAATTTTGTTTTTTTTTAGGTTTAATAAATTAGTTATTAGTTTAATTCCTAGATAGCATTCTTTCGTATTTGAAAATCTTTTTATAAAAATTAAAAGGTAGTTAAAAATAAGATTAAAAAACATTATTATTATAAAATTGTTAAACTTTTTTACGATTTTTTTTTAAATTTTAAGTTATCATGTTAGTATCTTATTAAGATTCTTGAAATTATATTAGCAATTACATAGAACTTTTTAATATCTAAGTTTAGCATTATTCAGCTACTTAATTGGCAACCTGTTGCATTACTTTTGTTTAGAAGTAGACTGCTTGTTTAATTATTTAAAGTTTGTGTTAAAAGGGTTTTTTTCTTTTGTAACAAGCATTAAAATTGTTTTTATTGCTTTTTTGAATTTATTTTCTATTTCTTTTATTTGTTTTTACTTTTTTTTAAATTTATTAAATTGTAACTTTTCACTTTTTTGATCTTTTTCTTATTTGTACTTTTTTTTATCTTATTATTTCTGTTTTTTTCTGATCTCTAATTTTGTATTAAATTCTTTATACTTGTTTATAGAAGGTGCATTATGCTGTTTTTATTATTATACTTATAAACTGTTATGTTCCTTGTTTAAAAGTTGTATGAACCTCTCTTAAGTCATAAACAGAAATATATTTAATTAGTTGGTTTTTTTGCAAATTATTGTAAATCAATTTTTAATTTTACAAAATTTGATTAGTTAATCTCTTTATATTTTTATTATATAAGTTATTAATTACATGTACATTAATTGAATATATTTTATATATCAATACTAATTAATTATAATTATAGTTATATATTAGTATATTATTAAAAAACATAATCAAAAAATTAATTTATGTATTAATGATTTTTTAGTAATTGTTATACAAACAATTACTATAGTAAAGTTTTATAATATTTTTAATGCTATAATGCTAATTTTTTTAAAATTTAATTGAAAAATTTTGCTAAATATTTATTATAATATATAAAAAATTTATACTAGTAATTTTTTTTAACTTTACCAGTTTTATTAATCATCTTTATTAAAATTTTTGTATATATATTTTGTACCAAGTTGACTTAAATTCTAGTTTAACATTTATTGATTGCTTTTATAAGTGTTCAGAAGCAGTCTGTTATATTAGCCAAAAAATTAATTTATTGGTCAGAAAGTTATATCAAGCTAGCTATTAGAGTTATAAAAAACTAGTTTTATTTGTCTTCCTATAAAACTAAACTTAGCTATAATTTTTAAATTTTTTTGTTTTTCTTTTTTTTCTTTTGTAATTTAGTTTTGTTTATCTGTTATACCTTTTTTCTTCTTTTTTAATGTATTTGCCTACTAGTCATTTTATTTCTTAATGTTTTCATTTTATTTTTTATTTATAAACTTAATTTTATTTGTATTTTTTTTAGTTAGTTATAATTTTATTAATATATTTTTTTTTTACAAAAGCATTATATTGAATTTATTTACTTATATAGCTTATCAACATTTAATTAATTTTTTATAAAATTATTTAAATTAAATTATATTTAACTTTAAAATTATATTTTTATATAAAATAAAAGATAATATTAATCAAGAAAAA